GGGCGCCTATAGTCCCAGTTACTTGGGAGGCTGAAGCAAGAGAATCGCTTAAGCCCAGGAGTTACAGGTTGCTATGAGCTGTGATGCTGCTGCACTCTTACCCAGGGCAACAGCTTGAGGCTCTATCTCAAAAAACAAACAAACAAACAAACAAAACGCAAGAAGAATCACAGACCTAAATGTAAAACAAAAAACTATAAAACTCCTGTGAGATGGCTGGGTAAGGTGGCTCACGCCTATAATCTCAACATTCTAGGAAGCCGAGGTGGTATACTGCCTGAGCTCAGAGGTTTGAGACCAGCCTGAGCAATAATGAGACCCTGTCTCTAAAAATAGCCAGGCACTGTGGGGGTGCCTGTAGTCCCAGCTACTTGGGAGGCTGAGGCAAAAGAATTGTGTAAGCCCAGAAATTTGAGGTTGCTGTTGAGTTGTAACGCCATAGCACTCTACCAAGGGCTACAAAGTGAGACTCCGTCTCAAAAAACAAAAACAAAAAAACTCCTGTTAAGATAATAAAGGAGAATTTTAGATGACCTTAGAATTTTAGTTGAGTTTAGCAATGCCTTTTTAAATATTACTTCAGCCAGGTGTGGTGGCTCACACCTGTAATCCCAGCACTTGGGTGGACTGCATGGGCTCATGGGTTAGAGAACAGATTAAGCAAGAGCAAGACCCAGTCTCTAAAAAAAATAGCCAGGCGTTGTGGCAGGCACCTGTAACCCGGCTACTTGGGAGGTTGAGGCAAGAGGATTGCTTAAACTGAGAGTTTCAGGTTGCTGTGAGCTAAGATACCATAGCACTCTGCCAAGTGTGACCAAGTGAGACCCTACCTCGGAAAAAAAAAAAAAAAAGGAAAAAAATGGCTCAGCACCTATAGCTGCGCTACTATAGCACCAGCCACATACATGGGAGCTGGCGGGTTTGAACCCAACCCAGGCCTGCCAAACACAATGACAATTACAACCAAAACATAGCTGGGCATTGTGGACAGCACTTGTAGTCCCAGATACTGGGGAGGCTGAGGCAAGAGAATTGCTTAAGCCTAAGAGTTTGAGGTTGCTGTGAGCTGTGATGCTACAGCATTCTGCACCAAAGGCGACATAATGAGACTCTGTCTCAAAAAAAAAAAAAATTACTTCAAAGACATGATCCATGAGACAAAGAATTGATAAGCAGAATATCACTGAAATTAAAAACTTCTGCTCTGCTGAAATAAACAAATGGGGTATCAAATTTAAAACCTTGTGTGTGGGCTCGGCGCCCATAGCTGAGTGGTTAGGGCACTAGCCACATGCACCAGAGCTGGTAGGTTCAAACCCAGCCAGGGCCTGCTAAACAACTATGACAACAATAACAAAAAAACGGCAGTGCCTGTGGTTCAGTGGGTAGGGCGCCGGCCCTATATATCGAGGGTGATGGGTTCGAACTGGGCCCCAGCCAAACTGCAACAAAAAAATAGCCAGGTGTTGTGGTGGGC